TAATTAAAATACAAAATTTTAGAGAAATTAACGGAAAGTCAAAATTAAGAATGGCAAAAATAACTTTGGTATGTTTAGAAGTGCCGATGCCACCCACATGTTCCACGCTTTTCATGAAGGATCTCGAAAAGCTTACAAACAACTAGAGGTAGAGAGCAGTTCTCTTGTTATCTCTATAAATTACATTACTTTGTCGTTCAACAATTTCTTTATCTAACGAGACACTTTTTTTGAAAAAAAAAAACAAAAAATAGTAAGTTCAAAAAGCCTAGTCAAATAGCAAGATTTTGATTTTGTTTTTTAAATTCTTGTCATTTCTTAGAGGAATTGGTAGGAAAGTAATAAAAGAGTGCTAAGCGGAAATCGGATTTTGCTGTTCTTTATTCCACCAAAATCAAATTTTGTTGAGTACTGAGAGGAGAACATAGTATGAAAAGTTTAAACTCCAAGTCAATAAATTTTTTTCAGGCATTAAAAAAGAACGCATGGGATCCTTCTGAAGATCTCGAAGAAACCCTGAAATTACGCTTGGACAAAGCTGACGTCAATATATCCACATATGACATTTCCATAGAAGAAGTATGTTATATCGCAGTTTTTCCAGAAAACTTCAAAGTTTTTGAACAAAACTTTACAAAAATCAATTTTTTTTGCAGAAACTCCAGACTTGTTTCGTCCACAAACCTGAACATTTCTGAGATACACTATGAAGAGAAATTTTAGGAAAAGAAAATTGTGCAAAGTTTTGAACGTTTGCGACAGCGAGTTAACGATTGGGGACTAATGGAAGCGCAACCATGGTATTATGTAATGAAATCTACCACCACGCTAGCATTCATGTTCCTCGCCTTCTATCTACAATATTGTGGATGGTAAGTTGAATTTTCACGTTTGGGGACCAGTTCTCGCATTTGGCTAACTCTACAATTTGAGGTATTTTACATCTGCCATTTCACTTGCCATCTCATGGCAACAATTTGGATGGTTGACGCACGAGTTTTGCCATCATCAACCGACCAAAAATAGGAAACTCAACGATATGTTCTCATTAGTATTTGGAAATCTTGCTCAAGGATTTTCTGCTGATTGGTGGAAGGATAAGGTTAGCTTTATTGCTTTTTTGGGATATATGCGACTTTTTATCTGCTGACTCATCCTTAGGTCTTTAGTGTTATTATTTGGAAAGGTTTTTCCCTATTTCGCTTGAAATTAGAATTTCGAAGAATTTTCAAAATTCTATGTTTTCTATTTTTGTGCATTAGATTGCACTATATGCATTTTATATCACCGCAATGCAGTGCTGCTACGGTAGAAATCAGCCTGAATAGTTAGTGATGTGATTCTTTGATTCTCCTAAAAAGTTAGACAGAATTGTGTAATCTTTTGATTATTTTGCATTTTCTACATTTTCTCTGAGATATTGGAACCAAAGTATTAATTTGATTTTGAACAATAACCTATTTCTTTCAGCACAATACCCATCATGCGGCCACGAACCTCATTGACCATGATGGTGATATCAATCTTGCACCATTGTTCGCTTTTATCCCAGCGGATCTGGCTAGGTACAAGCTGCCCATAGAGAAATTCTTCTTGAAGGTACATCCGTCTTTGCGTCCTCTGCACATTTTTTACGTTATTCCATCTTTTTCCTAGATTGTGCCTTACCAACACTTTTACTTCACTCTATCCTTACCACTACTTCGATTCTCATGGACTAGTCAATCGTTGTTGTGGGTATTTGCTGAGAATTCAAGTGAATACCGTGTATATCGTAGGAATGCGCTTGCGGAGCAGGTACGGTCTGAAGAGTACGGTATCAAATACAGAAAACAAGGAATTCAACTCAGTATCAATATTACAGACTTTCCTAATGG